AGCGGGGCGAAGCGGGGCGAAGCGGGGCGAAGCGGGGCGAAGCGGGGGCGAAGCGGGGCGAAGCGGGGGCGAAGCGGGGCGAAGCGGGGCGAAGCGGGGCGAAGCGGCGAAGCGTGGCGAAGCGGGGCGAAGCGGGGCGAAGCGGGGTGAAGCGGGGCGAAGCGGGCCTGTGGTCATTCTATGTGATTCTTACACTTCACTCAGCTATGGACTAGCCTGGCTAGCCTGAATATCACACTTGGGTGAGGAAGAAAATCAAGTGAGCCACATGAAAGGGAGTCTTCATCCCAGCACCATCAAGTTGGGTGCCGAACGAACGGAGCGGAAAAAAAGGAATGCCCAGAACATCCACTCACGTTTAAGCGGTCTAAAAACCACCCCCCAACATGAAAGTCCTGGTGAATCGTCTTCTAGCAACATTTGAGTCGACTTCGACTTGGCTCTCTGGTTCAAGGTTGTTGATCGGTCAAGTGCCAACACCTTTAGAGAAATCCCAAACAAACAAGGACTAAAAACAGAAACACCAAGAACCAGAGTCACACTCAGATCTGTATATGCACGTCACATGTCACTGACAAAATACAAAACGGTTTTGAATGAAGTATTTTGGGCAACACCTGTTCAAGGTGAGACCATTCTTGCTCCAACCACCGCCCCAGTCCACGAGCACCACGTGCCATCGGATTGTCTTGGTGTGGCCTGGGTGGAGCCTCGCTGGCCTCGTTGCCGCATCCAGAGCGGGACACGAGAAGTTCCTGTGGTGTGAAAAGGGTATAGATGGATTCACGTTGACATCAAAGACATCTTGGGGTGCCAGTGTCATACTCTGCAACCACTGCACATGGAGTCATTTTAGTACCAGTAGGTCGTTATCATGGTGTGCAAATGCACTCTGGACCATAAATAGATGGTCTGAGACTTCAAACGCGTTCATGCTCCCCTCAAGCTAGGATCAGGCCCAAACCACATGTCTGTAATTAACGCACGGCATGAATTGGTTGGACCACCGCCACAAGCGAATATCTTCAGGCCATTTCAGGCCTAGCTTGGTACCCTGAGCAGAATGCTTGCATGAAGACATGGCTCACCTAATTTCCAGAATCCAAACATTGGGCGACTGTGTTGGCTCCTCCCATCATGCTCGGTCCAACGCCAGTCACGGACGCGCAAAGAACCGGTTGAGAGTGACTTAGAAACCCCATGAAACCCCCAAACCCTATTCAAGGGCCATCCTTTCTGAAACTCTAGCTAGGGCCGCTCCACAGAGGCTGAGCCTCTCGCGAATCCGAATTGGACGACCGAAACATCGCGTGGCGCCGTGGGGAGGCTCCGAATCCACCTCTCGACGTCGGGGCTCTGTTTCCTCCACTTGTTGCAATCCAGATCGGATTGATGAAAATACAAAGAAGGCCAATGCTGGCTAACATACAGTATCGTTTCTTTTTTTAATAAGCACACCATGAGGAAGACCTTTCTTTTTTTTACAGTATCGTTTTCTTTTTTTTTGTGTGTGTGCATTTCTGATTGAAACTCATCGCAAATTCAAGGAGGGAAGTCTTTAAGTTGGGATAGGCACTTGGTCTCATCCACGCCCCTCATGCGGAAAGCTTGTTCATCAAATGGGATGAAACATGAATCTATATAAGAATTGCCAGGTTCCACTTATTGCTTGGGACTATGGCCACAAAAACCTCGTTGGATGAACATCAACTTCCAGGCATAGTGTCAACTCCATGATTTTGGACTGTTACTCTCCGATGAACACATCACATGGAAGTGGGACCATCCACGTAACCATGTGACATGTTCGTCGGACTGTCATATGGGTGTGTATATCAAGAAAGGGAGATCAGTTCGACCCCCTGGAAGAAGGAAAATAGACCAGTCTACGCAGTCTACGCGTCTTGAGCCAGGGGAGACCCTCTCTATTCAAATCATTTCAACACCAATATATTGATTGATCATGATTGACCCACCATTGACCCATATCTACTGACTCTATATGACTCTATGAACTGCCCCATGCTGCAGTTTCCAAATCCCCTTCTCCGCGTGACCGGTGCAAGGTCTCGGGCATTGCTGAAGAAGATCCCCAGCAACCTAGCAACGACCACGGCACCGCAGCGCAGGGCTGGCAAGAGATGTTGGTGTTTGACATGTTTTGACTGACATGTTTTCTACAAAAACAGTTGATGAACATAGCGCAATGAACAGCTTCTCAGATCCGATCGGATCCGCTCTCCGAACATGTGCCGACCGGGTTGCCGTTCGGCTTGAGACCTCCTGGATTGGTTCCCATCCTCTCCCAAACCTTCGGTTGTTTGTCTTGACATAATTGGTCATTGGTCATCAACCTTTCACAACCGCAGTTGGCTGCGTAGGCGGACAGGCCCAAGACTGACTTGGACACATCGACAATAGAGATCAACGCATCAACCAAAAGGGTGAGACACCCAAAGCGTTTTGTGCCATGCAAAAGCACCAATTGCAAGACCCCTCAGCATGCCCGCTTCGAAGAGGTCGACAAGGACACATTGGAGATGGTAGTTGTCGGAGGGAGTGGAAGGCAGGTGTATATTTGGCATTGACTTATTATTGTTTCAATACACACGCAAATGTGTTCTCGGAATAGGAATCCGCCACCATGTCAGACCAGGTGTGGCTTTATGCAAGAACAAGATATGTCAAGATGTACCCAACTGGACGTAGGGTGATTGTGTTCAAAACAATGCTGTGGAGAATGCTCTAAATGTTTTACATTTGTAGTATATAATTACTTGTATTTTATAGTAGTATATGTATAATATATGAATATATATATATAGAGAGAGTCTAGATATAGATGTTGTTCCATGATCCATGTTTGTCCTATACTTGAAGATGACCATCTTTGCAAACCACAGACAGTTGGCCTTGCTCGAAACTGTTGTTGGCGACCCAGTGTTGATGGACACATGTGTCTTATGAGCAAGTGGGTATGCAGGGAGACCTACCAAAGACCCCCTGGAAGAACGACGATGATCACGTTCAATCAACTCCCTCAGCCCCTCACCTTTTTTTCGCTGCCAGGTCCACTCTCCACTCCCAGGTCCAGCAGGGCCCCGACACGAGCGCCCCACACAAAGCGATGAGGAGCGTGCCTCGATCGCCCGCGTGAGCTCGGCGTCGTTCTCGGCGCTTCAAGTGGTCTTTTGACGGTTCTTTCCAACGTCGACAGTTTTCCACTGGCAAGAACCCTACCGTTGATCACAAGAAGTGGAAGAACCCACTGCTGTTGGGCTTGGATTTGCCGACTTCTTCCAGTCGGCTTCCTCTGCCAATTTGCCAAACCCCTTCCATTGATCTCGTTCCCCGGCCTTGCTTGGCGCTTCGGCACATGCCTGGCCCGGAGCGTCCCGGCGAGCATGAGGAGTCGGGGGGCGTTTCGTGGTTTTCCATGTGGGTCACTGGCATACCTGGGAAAGAAACCGCACATGGAACAAACGGATGTCATTCCCAAAGCCCATCCGGTGTGTGAAAATGACTTGAACATCTTTGAAACATGGAAATGGACTGGATCATTCGAGGATTTGTGAGGAGATAACACCTAGGATCTTCAAACGGCACATGCATGGTTCAAAAATAATGCCGTTTCAGAGGTTGCAAACATGGACGTTTCGTTTGGTTTCTCACTTCGGTATACCACGCCTTGCCACAAAAACTCCGTTACCAAAACTCCGTTTCGGGAACACACAAAATCGTTCGGGGAACACAACAACTCCGTTTCCCCGCACTGATATCCTCTAAAGGCAGTTCTTGGTGCCGTAAAATGTATAAAATGTATTAAATACTAAC